ATAGAACTTTAAATTAAAATTTATAGAATACTAAAAGCTGTTAATTCTAAATGTGAATTAATTTGTATATTGTTAACTAATTTCCCTCGTTTGCAATTTGCTTCACACGACGACTGCACAAAAATCGATCGAAATGGGTAAAGAAATATAATAATGCACATATTCAAAAAAATATTAAAACCACAAATTCTTCTACCTTCGAANATAGAACTTTAAATTAAAATTTATAGAATACTAAAAGCTGTTAATTCTAAATGTGAATTAATTTGTATATTGTTAACTAATTTCCCTCGTTTGCAATTTGCTTCACACGACGACTGCACAAAAATCGATCGAAATGGGTAAAGAAATATAATAATGCACATATTCAAAAAAATATTAAAACCACAAATTCTTCTACCTTCGAACGACGCGCTGTAAAATCAAATTAATTTTAAATGTAGGTTCCCACGTACGTCTCCGGACGATTTTAAAAATCAACACGAACATTTTCCTTCCGTTGCGAAGAATTGAAACAATTCAATAACGGGTGCTAATGAACACGCGCGCACACTCTGACATGCTATTAAAACTTGTGCAAACACCTTCTTAAATCTCGTTCTGCTTGAACTATGCACATCCACTTTGTAAAAAATTTCCCTGTGTCAACTCGCCTTTGGTCGTTTCTCATTTCTCACGTACTTTCTGAGTTCATTCTTTCAATGAACATTTCATATTTCAAAATTATTTCCAAGCTTCTGCTGGGCACGGAAAATATAATGGATACGGTACGTGGAAAAACATCATTAGCGAACCGTAAATGAGTACTGTTCTATATTTAGCCATATGGTCTCGATTCTCGAAACTGATATACGAAATTGCTATAGATTCATAATTCTCAAACGTTTGTTTTTGCATAAGTGTATTCTGAATAAGAATTAATAAAGGTCACACGGCAGCAAAGTGAAACGATAACAAAGATATAATCAAATACTTACTATCATTATTTCATATAGTGAAATTATACTTTTCATGATCTCAATAACCATATTTAACTACAGTGAAAAGCGAAAATGACCACACACCTTCTAAAAGGTATAACTTTTTTTAAACTGGTTTAAATGACTGGGCTTTCTTTATAAATGTTAGAGGAACTATTTCACTGTACAATGGCTACAATACTGTTTTTTCTAATTTTGCTATCATTTGGAATAAAACAGTGTACAAAAACTCGTTTTTTCATTTTTATATCTGAACCTATATAAGAATTTAAAAAATGCGGTCAAGCTACAGCCACTGAAATATGTAAAAATTACCTATTTCTGGTTGAAATTCGCGAGATACTGCGATTTTCGTAATCATTAAGTATTCGTAGCTTATATCAAGATGAACAGATTTCAATGAAATTTTCAGCACGCATATAAGTTACTGAGAAATACCAAATGCATTTTTAAAATTTTCATTATAAGCTCAGATAAAAAAGTAAAAAAACGAGAGTTTTCTTACATTTTTTTATTACAAATAATATCAAAATTAGGAGAGAAGTATTTTAGTCATTGTACAATGAACTAGTTCCTATAACATTTATAAAAAAAAGTCAAGTCATTTAGATCAATTTTAAAGAAGTTATACCGTTTTAAAACGTATGTGGTCACTTTTGCTCCTCACTGTACATATTGTAGCTACGTATCGAAATAAATAAGAAATTGAAAGATCACGGAAAAACTACATAGAAATAAACTTGTTATTGATCAGAGTTGAGCATTATTCTTTACATTATTTCAGTAAATATTTCAAATATTTCAAATAAAATTTTATTCGAATATTTCGAATAAAAGTAAAATTTTATTCGAATAATGCCCAACTCTGCTATTGATACCCATTGTGTTTATTTAAGCATATTTTTAGCATTTACAGTTGATATAAAATATCTAAAGATATTTTTTAATAATCATTGCAATGCCAGCATTAGATTTAAAATACTAAGTATTGAAGACAACTTTCTTGATTTAAAACGCAAGTCTGAGTCAACTTCGAATTGAGAATTTCCTTCGAATTTCATAGGTAATGTGGAAGTATGTGACTCATTAATCGCATGAAGCAAAAATAATTGCTAATTGCCGGTAATCGAAGGAAGACTGGTGTATACGGAATTGAAACTGCGAAGAATCAAGGCAACATTACAGCAATCGATTATTAATAAGCCGTGCATAATCGCTGGATATTAGAAAACAGTGAATAATACTCTGTATTGTATCGTGTCATACATAACGCTGCATTCCGATTGCTAATGACCTGCGAACATCTAACGACATTAATCACGCCGATTCATTACCAAAGCCAGAGTTTAAATACCGTTGTTAATATAATGAATTCCGTCTATTATAATACGTGCAGTTACTGAATCGTTGCTGCATCAATTATTCATTCAATTATCTCGAGTAAATATCTACAAATACGTTTTGATTGCATTTAACTTTCGAATGTTCCATTCATTCTTCCTGCACAAGCGTATTTAAATTTAAACCACATAAAATGAAATTTAATCATTTATAATCAAATTAAAACACATCAAAATCGTATTAAATTTAAACGTTTTTGTGAAACAAAGGCAACGAAAATTTAAATAGCCATTTTACGTCACTCTTGATCGCTTAAAATTGATTTAAAAATGTCAGTAAAAAGGATTGAAATATCTGTTTTATGTCACACCGCACCAGTACGTATCATATTAAAACAAATCAAGAGTGCATTTTTATTTTAAAATATAAGATAAGCAGAAGAAACGATGAAATATGCATTTTACGTTTCACTGATAAAAAATTATGTTAAAACAAATCAAAATCAAATTAAATTTATTTACAAATGTAAATGAATATGTTACACTGATACAAGGAGTGCACTAAAGCGAAGCGTTTACATAATAGCAATCTAACGTGCAATTGGAAAATAATACAATATTAGCATTAATAGCTCAACAACTTTCGCTTGCATCTCTGTTTAAATAATAGGATACATATTCTTGACGGAATAAATACAGTGACTTTGGAAAATATAGCAATGTTCCAGACATCGGAGGTCATTAATGTTATATGTTAATGCCGCAAAACATGGATCATTCTGTTGCTGAGAAGCGATATAAATAAACGACTAACACATTATATAACACTATCAACGGCTGAAAACCACTTGTAGTAACAGTTTATTGCACGTTTTTGTGCAAAATAAAAATTGTATGCATTTAAAACAAGGGACAGGAATTAATTATGAATGTGTTCTTTCTCTTAATAAATTTAGTCAGCTGAACATAACGGTAGCAGTTAATCGAAAGCGTTTAAATGTTTACGGTATTTGCATTTAACTTACTAATTCTTGCAATAAATGCATAAGTCTATTTATTAAAATTTTAACATACCTTGCGTCTGTTCTGCATATTCTCAGTTTTCAACGACTTCAATGACAATTTTATATTAATTATATTATTTAATCGTTATGGTTGAACTAGGTAATTAGTAATATTAATTTAATAATATACATTGAAATACAAAAAGAAATGTATTTTATAGGTTTAGTAAACCGGAAGTCATCTTATCCAGAAAAGCAAGGATTACGATGGAAAATAATATTAAAATAATATTAATTACATTATTAACACGATCAATTATGTGTCACACTATCGAATGATTAAAATCATCAAAGATGCGATCGAAACGCAATCCAGTTTTTACTAGAAAGGAATCGACGTTGCAATGCAAAGGAGAATAGAACCGCATTTTCCCATGTACTTTATTTCTTTTAACGATTCAGAAAATGGCATCAGTTCTAGCTTATATTTCCCCATAATCATTTCACGAAAAGAATGCCATGTTCGTGCCTACACTGTATAACAGTTGCAGCTGCAACATCCAACGATTCCAATCTATGTAAAAGCAGTACAAGAATCGATACAAAAACAATTTTAAACCGATTTAGAACCCATATGGAACAGGTTCGAAACTAACGTGAAGCCAATATAAAAAAAAACTCTGTCGAATCGTAACTGAAACCTATATAAACCGAAAGCCTTTTTTATCTCTAATAGTTATTAACATCATTTCGTTTCGCCATGTCTGTTACGATTGGAATATTTGTGCAACAGTTATTAACAATTATTTTCGAGATCATTTCAACCACTGAAAGATCTTTATTGGAAGAAATGTACACAATTAACGGACCTCGAAAACTGTTCGGAACATGAAAACAATTATTTATGAAAATGAGACGATGTAATGGAAGAAACTTCAACTACGACGAACTATTTTATGAAAAGGAAACAAAATTCGACTCTCTTATTTCTCGGATTAATAGCTTAACAAATATCGGTTCCACTAACAAATTTGCAATCTATGCGTGCATTGCATTGTGCTTCTATAAATAATATATATTACAAAATTCTTTGATGTTTATGACATCTGTCGATAAAAAACGAAAAGAAAAAAGTAACTGAACTATAATGATCTGTATTTAGTTCTTTGTCTAACCAAAGAAATTTCATTTAAACTGGTAGAACCAATCATGTAGTATCGAGGTGATTAACCTGTACTTTCAACTTAAACTGAACGAGTCAACTCCATTGACGCTTTTTAATTACATGATTTCGTTAATTGTTAAGACGCTTGAAACTTTCCTCAACTTTTTCGCCTGTGAAGAATTCTTCTATTGGCCGTTTATTTGCTAAATAGATTATCTGCGCCCATCAGCGAGGATTACTCTTTCAGCCCCCTTATAGTGGAATGTAGTGCATGGGGTCAAGAAGACTCCTGCTTGAGTTCAGTATATCTCTTACCGCATCATTATACTCGTTGCAAGATGGGCTAAATGACTTCATTATGTGCCAACAGTTTAATAAATGAATGAATAACCTACTACAGCAGTTGCTAGGACCCCGAGAAAATTAGTATATATGGTCCACCGAGAATACAAACAGATTTCTACGAGAAAGTGCAGAATACAGTAGCTGCATATCCAAGACTACAGAGAAAAAAATTGAACAATGAAACGACTGGAAGCCAACAAATTGTTGACAAAAATTATTGTATAATAAATTGCATAATAAAAGGATTTAATCAACGCAGAAGCAAAGTTGGGGGGATGTAGAGAAAATTTTGAACAATATTTTAGGGAGATCAAATGAAATTAAAATGAACGAATAAACACAAAACAAAAATATTTACAGGATATTGTAAATTGATTTGATCAACGCTGATGTAGAGAAAAATTCGAACATTCTAGATTCTAAAGAGCTCAAGTGAAATTAAGAAGAATTAACACGTTGGCTGCCGTGGGGGTCACCGGTGACCGGCACTCGACTTGGCTACAGCGCCGTGGGGGCCACCAGTGACCGGCGACGCGACGAATAATTAAAATACGTAATTAGGGTAAACATCGATACGCATAAATTTTTAAATAATATAATATTATAATAATTGTAATTTATTACAATGCGCCACGAAAAATGCATAAAACAAGTTTATACAACTAAACTTATCTGCTGTAAATAATATTTCAACATAATATGCATCGCATAATGAAAAATTCATGTTGGCGCCTTGGGCAAGTCACGTAAAATTCGCGCGGCAGCCAACGTGTTAA